GCCTCCCAAAGTGCTGGGATTACAGGCTTGAGCCACCGCGCCCGGCCCGCAATACTTCTTTTCTAACTCAATAAATAAAAATATATGTGAAGACATATGGTCACCTGAATGTTATACCCAGTATTCTCATTGTCAATACTGAGTTTAGCTTCATCCATGTTAATATATAAATCTACATAAATGGGTTTCCCTGTCTCTTTCCCTCTACTCCTTGCTTCATACTGCAGCCAGTGTAATCTTATATTAATGCAATGCAAACCTCATGGCTCACTCTTCTGCTTCAAATGCTTTGCTTCTTTTATTCATAGGATAAGGTCTTAATGTGGCTTCTAAGATTTTACATGATAATTCTTCATTCTTTTGCCCTGTCTTTCACTATTTTATTTTTCCCATTTCTGTTTCTTCCTCCAATTCTTAGACCCTGCCCAGAATGCACCAAGCTGCTCTTCATACCTAGATTGCATCCCACTCTCACTTATCATCTTTATGCTTGCTGTTGACACCTCTATAACACCGTTTCATTTTTTTCTAGTTGTAAGTTCCATGAGAGGGTGGCCTGTGCCTGTCTGTTCTCAGGTTTTGATTTCCTTCTAAATCCTGAGTACACTACTGGGTGTAATCATTATTGGCTACATTTTCTTACTTTTAGAGATAATTTACTCTGTTAGGGAAAGTACATTTCTTGGCTACATCATGTTGCTTAGTACAAAGTTTCAGAATGTTTGAAATCAAAATGAAGTGAATATCTAACTAACTATTCTAAGTGTGACTTCTACATCTATATAAAGATACTCGGCCTCTGAGTAACAGAAACTACAACCTTGCCCGGCATAAAGAATAAATGAATTCGTCTCATATACCAGGAGGCCTCAAGATTTTTTAATATAGTAATCCAGTTTTTACCTTAAGGATGTCATTTTTTCTTGTTTGTTTATTTTTTTTTATTGGGAGGGATTTGGGGAGGAGGACGTAGTTCTTTCTAGCTCTCCTCTCTGCTTTTCACTGCATTGGCCTAATCTTAAGATGATCGCCTTAGTAGCCATGAGATGACTGCTCTCAGTAATGGAGGCAACATACTTAAATCAACAGGAGATTGGCTTTTCTTTCCCAGAAGCATCTCCTTGTCTCTCTTTAGTCCAAATTGTTTTTTCTTTGTGTGTCCTTGAGTCAGTCAGTGGTAGAGAGGATGAAGGTACTATGATTTTTGTAGATGGGTCTTGTGTGAGTAGAACGGATGCTGGGTAGCCGCCCAGTATCCACCACAATTTCTCTTTTAGGAGTGGGGAAAAATCACAGTAATACTTGGCTGGACATTTCCCTTAAAGGAAAAAGTTTCCAACCAGACTTCTTTTTTCCAATCACTAAAAAAACAAAGACAAAAAACTCTAAGAAATTGTCTACATAGGTAACCATAGAATCTCTTCCCCCACTTTTTTCCCTTCAGATCCAGACATTTAACGTGGATGCACCATGCCGGACCGTGGAAGATTTAACGAATGGGGTTGTGATGGCCCAGGTTCTTCAAAAGATGTAAGAGTAAATTGTTTATCTTTATGTGTATTCTTATGCATGGATATTTATTAGATTACAAACATGGATTGAAAAAGTGCTTACATGAAATATGTGTAGGGTAAGACCTGTAGGCAGCAGCAGCAGTAGTTTTGATGGCATGTACTTGTTAGGTATAGATTGGGTTGCAAGTTTAATAAGGGCTGCAATTGTTTAGTGCTCTAATGGATTTAGCAGAATTATTTGTTCTTGTGTTTTTCTGTTTAAGCTTGGCAGAAAGTGGCCAGATTTTGTTGTTACAGGAGACTCTAAGACGCTTACTCCATCTTTAAAATTTTGCTCAAATGTCATCTCACCAGAGACACCGGCCTTGGGTACCCATATAAAATAGCAATCACAGTTCCCTTATACTCTCTATCCCCCTTAAGCTTTTGTGTTCTTCTTTCAAATTTGTAACACCATCTGATATACCATATATTTGGTTGTTCATATATCTGCCCCTAGTGCCCCCAAACACATATAAACAGAATGTAAACTGCACGTGGAGCCAGGAAATTTGTTTTTACTGTTGTATCCAAGCAACAGCCAAATGCCTGGTTTTATGTTGAACTGTATGATATTCCTTTTCTTTATGGGTCAAAATGGTCAAAATCAGCAGTTCCTCCTAGTTTAATATGCATTGTGAGTGCTTATGTTTGCTGAGTGACTGTAGGAAGGAGTATTCGTTTGGGATATATGAAATATACCCAATTCTTCTAAGTACTTTGAAAACATAACTATTATGAAATTGATATTATATGACTATCAGCTTTTGACCTAGGCATTTTTAAAAATTATGTGTGGATTTAAAAAGTCATTGAATTTGTTGTAATTTGCAGATGCTTTCGTATTTTGAAGACCTGAACACTTGTCAGCCTGATGATTTAAAAAGATTTACATATCACTAGCTGGGTTGCCCTGCATTTCTGTTGAAAATCGGTGTCATTATGAAATGAATTATTGGTTTACTTTGCAGTTAGCTACATAAAGTTGCCATGGACCTCAGCACTTTGACAGGCCACGGCAGGAGGATTGCTTGAGTTCAGGAGTTCAAGACCAGCCTGGGCCACAGAGTGAGATCCATCTCTACAAAAAAAAAAAGAAANCCCCTGTGCTCCCACCGCGCTCTGCGCTCTTCTCGGTGCTCCCACCGCGCTCTGCGCTCTTCCCCTGTGCGCCCACCGCGCTCTGCTGCTCTTCCTCTGTGCTCCCACCGCGCTCTGCGCTCTTCTTGGTGCTCCCACCGCGCTCTGCGCTCTTCTCGGTGCTCCCACCGCGCTCTGCGCTCTTCTCGGTGCTCCCACCGCGCTCTGCGCTCTTCTCGGTGCTCCCACCGCGCTCTGCTGCTCTTCCTCCGCCGCGCTCTGCGCGCTTCCTTTGTGCTCCCACTGCGCTCTGCGCTCTTCCTCTGTGCTCCCACTGCGCTCTGCGCTGACCCTGTCATTTCACTGGGTGGGTCACTGTCAACTTCTCTCCTCGCCTCTCAATATCCTGTAAGCTCTTTAAGGATAAAATAGGATCAGTGTTCCATCCATGTCCCTGGTACTCAGAAGACGGGCCAAAACATTTAAAAGGGCAATATTAGAGACCCCTCAGTAGCACGAGACTTAAGAGAACAAATTGCCCGGCTAGTTGTGATTAGATTTCTCTAAGAGTCTGAAGAATGACAGAAAGGTTCTAGGAACTGGTATATAATTATGTAGGGTCGCTGGCAGTATGTAGAGTCACTGAAATCAGCTAAGGAATGGTGGTGCAGTCTCAGGAGCCAGCTGGGCACAGTGGCTCAGGTCTGTAATCCCAGCACTTTGGGAGGCTGAGGCGGGCGGATTGCTCAAGTCCATGAGTTCAAGACCAGCATGGGCAACAGGGCAAAACCCCACCTCTACAAAAAATTAGCTGGGTTTGGTGGCACACATCTGTAGTTCCAGCTACTCAGGAGGCTGAGGCAGGAAAATTGCTTGAACCCAGGAGGCAGAGGTTGCAGTGAGCCGAGATCACGCCTCTGCACTCTAGCCTGGGTGATAAAGCGAGATTCTGTCTAAAGCAAAAAAAGTAGAAAATGTATCCAGATGAACCAAAACACCAAATACCTTTCTTTGGCCCTCGCTGTTCTTCCAGATAACATATCTCTCTCTTTCCCTTCACAGGCGTCCCCTGGGTTATCCGCTGGCCTCTGCACCCTTCCTTGCCTCCTCTCTCTCTCTCTCTCTGGCCTCTCCTCTGCAATCTGGCCTCCCCTGCACAGCCACCTGGGTCCGCTCTCACCCAGGCCCCCAGTGAACTGTGGATCCTTACTAAGTCCAGTGGACCTCGCTCTCTCTCTCTCTCTCTCTTTTTTTTTCTTAAATGATTCATACTTGGCCTGCTTTTGAGACCACAAGGAAGGGGACAGTACATCTCCCATTCCAGGCTCCTGGGACCCATCTCGCTCTTCCTCCCTCTTTGCTTTCCCAGACTGCTACTGCCAGGATGTCACCCAGAGATCCTGTCCCTTTTATCTCTCCATTGGCCGCTTTCTCCCAGACCTCTGCCCTTCCCACTGTGCCATCCAGAACTAGCCACATAATTGGTGGGATCCATTGCAAATGACAACATAGAGTCCCTTCTTCAAAATGAAAGGAATTTCAAATTGGTGACAGCTGAACATTAAAAGAAGCATGGTGCCAGGCGTGGTGGCTCACGCCTGTTATCCCAACACTTTGGAAGGCCAAGGCGAGCAGATCACCTGAGGTCAGGAGTTCAAGACCAGCCTGGCCAACATGGTGAAACCCCATCTCTACTAAAAATACAAAAATTAGCCGGGCGTGGTGGCACATGCCTATAATCCCAGCTACTCAGAGGGTTGAGACAGGAGAATCGCTTGAACCTGGAGGCAGAAGTTGTACTGAGCTGCATTCTCACCATTGGCACTCCAGCCTGAGTCACACAGACTCCATCTCAAAAACAAAAACGCTGGATGCGGTGGCTCACGCCTGCAATCCCAGCACTTTAGGAGGCTGAGGCAGGCAGATCACCTGAGGTCAGGAGTTCGAGACTGAAGATCAGCCTGGTCACATTGGTGGGTCTCATCCAAGCCGTGCGTTGAAAGGCATTAAGTGCAAAACAGAGGTTTCCCTGAGGAAGAAGAAATTCTGACTCCAGATTTCGGCCCTGGCCCCGCCTCAGTTTCCCTCCAGCCCTGTGGATTCCAGGCTCGCACAATTCAATTTGTGAAACAGATCTCTTACGTACATATCTTTTTTCTTTCTTTCTTTTTTTTTTTTTTTTTTTTTTGAGACCGAGTCTTGCTTGGTTGTGAGGCTAGAGTGGAGTGGCATGATCTCGGCTCACTGCAACCTCTGCCTGCTGGGTTCAGGTGATTCTCCTGCCTTAGCCTCCTGACTAGCTGGGACTACAGGCATGCACCACCATGCCTAGCTAATTTTTGTATTTTTAATAGAGACGGGGTTTCAGCATATTGGCCAGGATGGTCTATGTCTCTTGACCTTGTGATCTGCACGCCTCTTCCTCCTAAAGTGCTAGCATTACAGGCGTGAGCCACTGTGCCCGACCTCACTGAAGTTCTTAATAAAAATTATTTTGAGTTTGTGGGCCTAGCTAAGTGAACTTTACAGGTATATGTCAATAAATGAATTTTTTGCCTAAGCTAGTTTGTGTAGGATCTCTATCACTTAGAGAAACCAAAAGAAAGTGTATGTGTATTGTTTTATCAAAACAAGATTTCAGGAACAAGACAAGGATTTCGACTCTGCTACTTCTGTTTAACACAGTCTTTACCAGAACAATGAGGCAAAAATTAAAATAAGATAAAAAAGTAAAAGGTATCCAAATAGGAAAGAAAGAAGTGAAACTGCCACTGTTTCCTGACAATGTGACATTGTGTGCCAAAAGCCATAAAGACTCCATAAAAAAACTGTTAGACCTGGTAAAGGAATATAGTAAAGTTGCAGGATACAAAATCAGCCTACAAAAATCAGTAGTGTTTCTATGCACTGACAACAAACTATCTGAAAAAGAAATCATGAAAACAATCCCATTTATAATAGCTACCAAATTAAATAAAATACTTAGAATACACTTAACCAACAAGGTGAAAGATCCGTAGATTGAAAACTACAAAACATTGATGAAAGAAGTTGAAGTCTCCAATAAAGGAAAGATGTTCTGTGTTTGTAGATTAGATAAATTATTAAAATGTCCATACTAGCCAAAATGATCTGCAGATTCACTGCATTCCCTGTAAAAATTTCAATAACCTTTTTAACAGAAATAAGAAATAAAGCTAAAATTCATATGAAATGACAAAAGACCCCAAATAGCCAAAGCAGTCATGAGCAAAAAGATCAAAGCTGGAGAAATCTCACTACCTGATTTTAAACTCTATTGCAAAGCTATGGTAATTAAAACAACGTACTACTAGCATAAAAGTAGACACATTGACCAGTGGAACAATAGAAATTCCAGAAATGAACCCATACATCATAGTCAGTTAATTTTCCACAAAGGTGCCACAGACACACAATGAGAAAAGGACAGTCTCTTCAGTAAAGGGTTTTGCGAAAACTGGGTATCCACATGCAGAAGAATAAAGTGAGACCCTTATCTCCCCTGACATGCAAAAATCAACTCAGAATGGATTAAACATTTAAATATGCCTCCTGAAATTGTAAAACTACTAGAAGGAAACATGGGGGGAAAGCTTCTTGACATTGGTCTGGGGGATGAGTTCTTGAATTTGACCGTAGAACAGGCAACAAAAGCAAAAATGGACAAACGGTATTACAGCAAACTAAAAACTTCTGCATGACAATGGAAACAAGCAACAGAGTGAAGAGACAAACTACAGATTGGGAGAAAATATTTGCAAGCCATACATCTAATAAGAGGTTACTATCCAGTCTATGTAAGGAACTCAAACAGCTGAATATAGGGAAAACAAATAACTCAATTTAAAAAAGCGTGAAGGACCTGAATAGACATTT